TCTTGTTCTCGTTTGACCGGGGCTCGAGAGTTAAGAAAACTTTCTTGCAAACTCTCGCTTCTCAACTCTCATCAACTCTCATGCAACTCTTGTTCTCGTTTGACCGGGGCTCGAGAGTTAAGAAAACTTTCTTGCAAACTCTCGCTTCTCAACTCTCATCAACTCTCATGCAACTCTTGTTCTCGTTTGACCGGGGCTCGAGAGTTAAGAAAACTTTCTTGCAAACTCTCGCTTCTCAACTCTCATCAACTCTCATGCAACTCTTGTTCTCGTTTGACCGGGGCTCGAGAGTTAAGAAAACTTTCTTGCAAACTCTCGCTTCTCAACTCTCATCAACTCTCATGCAACTCTTGTTCTCGTTTGACCGGGGCTCGAGAGTTAAGAAAACTTTCTTGCAAACTCTCGCTTCTCAACTCTCATCAACTCTCATGCAACTCTTGTTCTCGTTTGACCGGGGCTCGAGAGTTAAGAAAACTTTCTTGCAAACTCTCGCTTCTCAACTCTCATCAACTCTCATGCAACTCTTGTTCTCGTTTGACCGGGGCTCGAGAGTTAAGAAAACTTTCTTGCAAACTCTCGCTTCTCAACTCTCATCAACTCTCATGCAACTCTTGTTCTCGTTTGACCGGGGCTCGAGAGTTAAGAAAACTTTCTTGCAAACTCTCGCTTCTCAACTCTCATCAACTCTCATGCAACTCTTGTTCTCGTTTGACCGGGGCTCGAGAGTTGAGAAAACTTTCTTGCAAACTCTCACTTCTCAACTCGCATCAACTCTCATGCAACTCTTGTTCTCGTTTGACCGGGACATGGGAGTTGAGAAAACTCTCATGCAAACTTTCACTTCTCAACTCTCATTCTAGGCTTTACGCTATTTCGAATAGTTAAGGGAAACAATTAAACAAAATAATTCGATTTTATAAATTTAGATTCCTAAACAAGCTGTAGAAATGCCAGGAAACAATGGTGGCATGGATTCTCTCGATGTACAGGTTTGCAACTTAAATATATTTTTCTGAAGTGTATTCAACCTCGTTCCCAGGTAGCGGAGAGAGCCTGGGAATGAGTGTATTAAAATAGTCAAATAGATGCGGAACCAAGCTAACCTGAGGTGCCACTGACCTGAAAATTAGAACTGGACAGTGCATAAATGAAGCCGGCAGTGTCGGTCATATTAATGTGATCACCACAAATCTATTGTGGTGTTGGTGACATAGTAGAAGAGGTTCTTACATTTTCTGGCAGGGTTCGTACAAAACTTGAAAGTCCTTGAATGTCGTTGAATTTGAGAACAAAAATTCAAGGCCTTGAATGTCCTTGAATCTGTAAAGAAGTACTTGAATGTCCTTGAATTCTTCTTGCTTTAGTTTTTGGATATTTTCTGAAATTGTTTGTCATTCAAGACGGACATTTTGTTGAACTGATTTTGCATGTTCATATCTGACCTCATTATAAAGTTACGTTTTGAACAATTCAACGTCAGATTTTGCTGATTTATAACACCACCTTCTTCAGTATTTAGTCCTTGAATTTGCTGATACACGGCCTTGAATGTCCTTGAAAAGTCCTTGAAGTTGACTCTTCCCCACATGTACGAACCCTGTTTTCTGGTTATCGGTGGGAAAGGATAAACATTGTTTGGGTAGAAATTTATCAACAGCAGGGCGCTCGCTTATATAAGCGCCCTGATCAACGGTGACCTCTCTGCCACCTTAAATTTGCCCGTGAATAACTAATGATGTCGCACCAAGATGACTGCTCTGAGTATGTGTACCCTCATGTGAACATTCATAACTCATTCACTCGTTCACATCCATCAGAAGACGAAAATCGCACCTAGCTCTATAAATAAGAAAAGTTTCATAAATCTTAAAAAAAAACGTGCGTAACAAATTTGGTTCTTTTTAGTTTGGAAATCTGGAATTTGGTGGTGACTCGATGACCAAACCTGAAGAGGTGCGAGTCATACAGCAAAAAGAGGTATACAAAATAAACGCAATTAAATTTTTGGAAATTAATACTCATCCAAACAAGACCGTCGCTACAATTTCTGTCGTTGCAATTTTAAAAAATCATCGTATAGACACGAAATTACTGTGGATAGTTTACATTTCGGCAGCATCAACGATATTTTTCTCAAAATGACAATTTGAATATGCATGTCAATAACAATGGCATACTTGAAACCTGAAATGTTGATGTATTATATGTACATTCACATGTTGTTAATGTCTTTGATAAAATCTCCTTACTGCATAGTGTAAAGAATTGTTTGATAACCATTGGCATAAAATTAATTGCTGCCGATGATTTCACTTTCAGCGTCATTGTGGATGGAGTTGTGGGCGGTAATTTTTTTGCCACCGAAAATTGCGAGGACTGCAATTTGCTTTTACATCGAATGCCTATAAATTAATATTTTTTTCATGTTTTTAGGAGTCCATGCCACTTTCAAGCGCTGGGTATGTGTCAATCTTACTTTGGTTTTAGACATAGGGATGACATTTTCAGAATGAAAGAATTGTCCATATCAAGTTGGTTGGGTTGGATTGATTTGGTTTGGTTTGTTTGTTTGTTGGTTATTATCACTGATCTAATATTAGATCAGTGGTTATTAGTAATGAATGCGATTTTTGTTGCATCAAAGTTTATATCGCTGTAATTTATGTCCTAGCAGGGGCGAAGCTAGTAGCCATGGCAACTGGTCATGCTATGCTACAGGGTTCGTACAAAGTCTCAAAGAGACAAAGACTCGAGGACTTGAAAGTTCTTGAGTTTGTAAAGAAGTGCTCGAAAATCCTTAAATTGTCTTGTTTTAGCGGATATTTTCTGAAATTGTTTGGCATTAAGAATTGGACATTTTGTAAATTGATTTTTTTCATGTCTTACTAAGGCCAAAGCTGTTTGAAATTCATTAAATTTGGCATTTGAACAGTTTAAAGTCACTTTTTACTGATTTCTACCGTCGCCTTTTCAGCCTTTAGTCCTTGAATTTCCTGATACATGGCCTTGAAAGTGCTTGAAAAGTCCTTCCTGCATCCAAATGGCTTAAAGACAAGACATTTCTAAAGTTTGAACAATGCAAATCATTAAAAATTTACATATGGTGGTATATTGTACCTCAAGTGGTATATTGTACGCATTAGTTTTGGCGCGTGTTACATAACATACAATAAAATCTCCTCTTAATTCATCACTTGTCTTTTTTTTATCTGTGCAGGAACGTAAGTGTTCCCAAACCAGCCGTACCGGCTGCAGTTGTCACCACAGTTTCTCCTGCTGGTCCAAAACCTGTCACCATGGCAACGACGTCAATGACGTCGGAGAGTGCTGTCGTCAACACGTACGAACAGAGGTCACCAAGGCATTATCAGCCTCCTGGTACTCCTGTTTCCAAGTCTGCTATGACCCAGGTTAGTTTCACGCCAAACAAACAAAACACGAAGTTTTACCACGGGGCAGTGTTGTGGAATGAGTTACTCAAAATGCACGAGTAATATGCTCTCTTAGGGACCGGTCATTATTTATGGCGGGAGTGGCACCGAAGAGAAATGTTTTTCGTGTCAAAAATTTTGTTTGCTGACCCAACCATTAAACAGTCAAAAATTTGATTACCCAACCTCAAATATCAATTAAAAAATAAATACCCATTACGAGTTTGGTAACGGCTTGTGAAATTTTCTGCAGTCTAAAGTTTCATGTTGTCTGCACATGTACTTTCTTTGGAGACACCATTTGTCTCCCGACAAATCGGAAAATGATTCACATATTGTATTGACATATGAATGTTGACACTCTAATTGATTCACATATTGTATTGACATATGACTGTTGACATTGCTTTTCAGTCTCCAATATCAGTGAGTCATGCTTTGGAAATGACAATAAATTTTCATTACCCAACACTTGAGTTGTTTTGTTTTTCATTTACCCAACCTTTTACTTACTCAAACTTTTGTTTACCCAACCCTTTTCTCTTCGGTGCCACCCCCCGCCATAAATAATGACCGGTCCCTTCGTCAATTCAAAAGAGAAATTGACAACCTTTTTGACTCCCGCATGGCAATCTTGTAAATCAGTAGCATGTTGTAGTATCTTTGTATCTGTATTGTCTTTGTATATTTGTCCTTAAGTGTAAGTTATTTGTCGGCTAATTCTTATTTCAAAGTGTTATTCTTGTACTATACGTCAAACGTCGCGATCCGATTTGCAGGAATTTTGGCGGATTTCAAAATTTCATAAATATCCTGGCTTCAAAATTGGCTGATGAATTCAAAAGGATACTCTATCCAGCTTTAGTTTGGAGATCAGTGCTCACACGTAACATCGTAATTATTCAATTCTTTTTCAGATAACACCCGAACCCAGTCCCCGGAAAGAGAAAGTCGAGGTGCGTGAGCCAAAGACTCCACCGATGACGAAGAAAGTGGATGTGTCGACGTCACCAATGCCGCTGACCAATACGATGTCAATTGCTAAGAATAACAATGAGGGCGTGGCAAGTCGTGCTAACTCATTACATTCTCAGATCGAGGCTATTGCTACATCTGATGAAAGATTGGACGAGAGAGTTCACCAACAGGCTGTAAGTGTCTCTTTCATGAATGAAGGTTTACAGGTGTTGTAGATGGAAATGATCGAGTTTGAATTCTCTTGATATTTACCCATACCTTAAAGTGTGACTAAGCCTATGATTTTTTGTAGGTGTAATATTTGGGTCAGTCGAAGAAGAAATGTAATATATCTTTATAATAATAAAACCCATCTTGGTCAACTTTTTCACTGTCAAAGTTATCGGATATGATGTCATTAGGTGAATTGGGAATTAATTTTCCTTTGTTTAACTTTCTTGTGCCAAAAATTCGCCTAATGATATCATATCCGGAAACTTTAACAATGAAAAAGTTGATCAAGATGAAGATACATTACATTTCTTCTTAGAATGACCCAAATATTACACATACCAAAAACCATATTTGGGGTTTTCGCACTTTAAACTGGCAGTACGCTAGACGCTAGTGTATATTCATGAACTTGTAGTTAAATAAAACAACTGGACTCTGTAGTTCAGTTGGTTAGAGCACTGCGACGGTATCGCAGGGCCGCAGGTTCGATTCCTGCCAGGGACCTATAGTTGTATTTTTCGCAGCTGTTCCTGGTTAGGTGTAATAAATGTATATAAATTTCCACTCACAATTTCCATCTGTTCAAGACACTTCAACTATTTATTATGCAATCGAGTGAGATGCCAACAGAATCTTGTCTTTTAAGGCCCATTTCCACTCTGGAAAATTTTCCGCGGAAAGAAAATTTTGTAAAATGTGATTGGCCGACACAAATTTTCTGTCAGAAAAAAGTTTTGAAGTTGAAAATTTTCAACTTTAAACAATGATATTTTCGGAAAATTTTCTGTCCGTGGAAATTTTTCTTGAGTGGAAATCGGCCTTTGCATGAATGTAAAATCAATGTTAAGGTTGATATTGATAACCATCCTGTATTGCACGTCAGTAGACCTTTCCCCTTTTCTTCTTCTATCTTCAAGTGAAATTTTGATCTGGACAAGTCTGGACAAAAATTTCATCACAGCTTGAAAGAGCATCG